TGACAATCTGTCCACATTCACGTCATTCCCAGCATGCACCGAGGGACAAACTCAGATTAAACATGGAGGCTCACCACTGCTTTCCTGTCCTCTCCATCCCGCAACAGCTTCCCTTAGAAGGGAGACAACACAGTGAGACTCGATTTCACTTCCTGTAAGTGTTATTGATTGATTGATTGATTTGAAGGGGCTCAATACTGTGGGAAATAAAAGATAAAACCTTAAAGAGCTCGTTTTTAACTGTTTGTTTCCCCACATGTTCTTATGACGCTATTCTGAGTCACGTTAACCGACTCTGCAGATGCTCTGTAGGCTACAATTAACCTGAGATCAGATCACCGGGGCAGACATTTGAACCCGGCTGGTTAAACGCCGCTTTAAAGCCCGGGTCTGATGTGTCCTGACAGCGGCAGCACTGACCTGCAGCCCCGGGCCGTGTCCCGCTGCGGGCTCTGGACGGGACTAGCCTGAATCCCCCGGCACACGCTTTCCTCCACCCGCTCCATCCAGCCCACAAACACGCCGGCGCCACGGCACGGCGAGCGGACACGAGTGTGACACACACCGACATCAGTGTGCCATGTTAACAACCTGTACACGATCCTCTGTTCTCACACAGGAAGAAGAAGCGCCGCATTTCTTCTTCGAATTATAAGAAGCCGCATCGCTGTCAAACAGCGCCACCTACTGTACTCTCCCCGTGTCCGCATGAACGTGTGTGTTCAGCTTCCATCACTGACACAATGTTAGCCGGAAACAAAACGTCAGTGAGGAGCTGTGGAGGATAACTGTGTTGTCAGTTTATTTATTGTCCGATAAAAGAGCTAGCTGTTAATGCTATGTTCTTATTATTTAGTAGTGATGGCCAAATGAAGCTTTCTGAAGCTTGTATTGAAAAACGATTCATTACTGGAAGCTTTTCAACTCAGTCCTCTCTGGTGACATCTGGTGGCCAAAAATATGAAGCGCAGCTTGAATCCACAAAATAAAACCAACCGCTTCATTTGCTCACTCTACAGAGTGGAGTTGTGTCTGATATTGGGCCTCTGTTGTGTTGCTTTGAACGTGTATTTTTGGGAGGTTAAAAATGTGGTTTAGTTGTTTAATAAATAAGCTTGACCAGTAAACTCTCCTTTTTTAAACATGCACCACGGTGTGGTCTTTCTTTGCTTGTGACTTCTTGATGTTGGTAAATACAATAATTGAAAAATACCACATTACATATAATATACATATAATAATGTACAACACATTATGGAGTATGCTTCTGCTGTGAGGTCCTGCCTCCATGCACTT